GGCTATGCAAAAGGCAACATTTCAAAGTGTTACCAACAATTCTTCACATTCTCCCAAGCCACTACTTCTTCTACAGATTGTCTCAAGCCATGGCCAGACGATCTACGCATACCTCCTTCAAGAAACCCTGCATCACGAGCCCATGTGCAAATCCATTCAAGTGAGGGCTAAAGGCGCATGTAGGGACCAGGATCCCAATTTTCCTACAGGGACTGCTCTGCTAACATGAAAACAAAGATGCAACTACAGCCAGACAGCTCACCAAGACACAGCACAGACCTTCATGCTCCCACCGCTAATGCCAGAAAGCAAAGTTGCATCAAGAGAATAACTCCACCGACCATCCACTCCTTTCAATGACTGTCCTGCTTCAATTCTGACTCAGCTGCATTCTGGTGCAGCATCAGTTCTTGGCTTTGTCCCACCTTTCCCGGCCCATATGTGCGTTTATATTCAGAAAAAAGTCTTTCACCCCTCTGTGGCCTTGGCACCTTAGTGGATCCAAACACATATTGAAGCATACATTAGTGCAAGCCCATGGTTACTCCACCATAACCAGGTTGGTTAATTCTTCATACAGGGTGCTTAAGCTGCAACTGGCAAAAAAGAAAAGCAAAAGATAACAGACTCAGACTCTAGAGGTATGTTTTGACTACTTTTTTTTTTCCAAAATGAGATATGCAAATTTGGCACTGATTTGCATATCTTTTTCCAATCGCTTTTTCGAAAGCAGGTTGTTTGAAAGTGAAAGTAGTCTGGACGCGGTTTTGGGGGGAAAAAAACCCTTTTTCAGAAAAAAAGTTCTTCTAAAAAAAAATGTACGTGTTTTTTCGAAAAAGGGTTTTTTTTCCCAAAAAAACCATGTCCAGACTACTTTCATTTTTGAAAAACCTGCTTTCGAAAAAGCAATTGTAACAAGATATGCAAATTAGCACCAAATTTGCATAACTCCTTTTAAAAAAAACCCCGTAGTCTAGACATACCCTAAGCGTGTGCCCTATTTGTGGCCCAGTCAAGTCAGTCTCCTGCTCCCTCCCCATACTATTAGCTTATACCAAAAAGGATACAGGTTACTAAATAGATCTCCATGCAACACATTTTTCCTCAGAAGAGGGTTAATTCCTACCAGTAGTTCTCTGGCATTGGGGTGCCAAAGACCATTTAATAAGAACAAGGTGTTTTGAGGTGACCTCCCAAGTCAGTTGATTCCACGCTGCTTGGCTCCCAAAATATTTCACCCCCTGGTTCCTTAGCTCATTACTGGCCCCTGGATCACTGTTTGAGAATGACTAAGTCAGCTTCAGTACCCTCAGCTGCTCACCCCGTAATGGCTGATGAGGGCCAAGCAGACGCTCCGGCTGTTTAAATTCAGGAGCCAGGGCCAAGGGCCTTAAAAGAGAGCAGAGGTGTTTAGCTAAGGAATCCGTACTGCCCACAGAAAAAGAAACTCTCCTACAGAAAAGAGGACAGCACCACAGCTGGTGAGAGGCAATGGAATTCTCTGGAAGTCAATGGAATTACGCATCCCAACAAATACTCACATCAGTATAGTCTCCCCAGAGGTGCTAGGTTCCTGGAGCCAACAGGCTGGGTTAGGCCAATGCAGCTCTTCAAATAGGGCCACTCTGTCTTGCTGCTGACTGGACAGATTAAATAACCCGCCTGGTCTCACTTTCTAGCTCCACTTACAAGCCGCACATGAAAACCAAAACTTAAGCCATTCAGCGCCCCATGAGCAAAACTCCACCTGCCGTCCCCTGCAACATCCACTCCCAATAACGCCCCCGCGAAACAGCCCCGCAGCGGTCTCCTTTTCTGTCGAGCCACCAGAAATCATGAGGTGCTATTTGTATAGGGCCCGACCCTGAAATTCTGATGCGGGTCCAGCAGGATTGGGCCTCAAAGTACCAAATGGGCCAGTCTTCCAGAGCCCCTCTCGACTGCACGGCTTCCTGAAGAGGAAGTTAGAGACAGAACAAGATGGGCTTTAACGACCGCTAAAGGAAGATCGTTTATTGGTTTGGGCCTTCCTCTTGCAACCTCATTGGTAACGGACTATCACTGTGCAGCCAGGATTCAGAGCCAATGTTGGGATTCTGGTCTCACCCCAGGTTGATGTCCCTGACATCAAGGGCCTTACTCCCCATTTACCTTGGTGGCAGACCAGAATCAGGTCACAAAGGGTGACCAAAAATTCAGCCCAGGCGATGGACAATGCTGTGCACATTCCCTCACGAGCGGCTAGAATGCAGTGGTGCACCTTGAGCTGAACTAGAGACCACCTAGAGCAGGGGCCGGGAACCTTTTATTGGTTGGGGGCCACAGACGCATAGAAAATCAGTCAGGGGCTGCACACAAGTGAGAAGCCAACCCCCCCCCCAAAAAAACTAACACACTGAAATGGCCCATGACGGAGAAGGAAAAAGATGCTCCCTACATTCCCCTCTTACAGGAGACGAGGGAGGCCCAGCCTTGTAGATTTTGTGTGCTCCAGCCTCACAGAGGGACAGCAGGGGGGCTGGAGGGGCCCTGAGCCTCAGGGGCCCGATCCAGGCAAGCCGAGGTTCCTCCCAACCTAGACGGAAATGCACACTGGGGTCCTCTCCGCAATCTCCCTCCAGCGTGGCAGGCAGTTGCGATCTGCTCCATTTAAGGCAATTTGGTGCAACTTTTGGAGGTCCCCAACTACTTGCCCAGGTGGGCACACGCCTGCTATAGACGCGGGCGCTCTTCCAGTGGCCAACACGATCTCCGACATGAGAGAATAACCTTTGCTTTCCACCCTCCCCGTACATCAACCCACTCAAAGAGAGTGCTGCCGTACTTGGAGTTAAAGATAAACATATATTGATTACACATGGTCATTTAAAAAAAAGTAGTAATAATACATTTTCTAGAACATTACTTAAGATGCTTTTGCAAAGCATCTGAACTCCCCCGACCCCCTTCCCCGTATCTACACAGAATAAAGTGCTTCATTTATTTTGTTCACGACTAGTTGAGCCACCGATACACTCTTTACTTGGCATGTTTGGGCGGCGGATACTGAATGCCATAAAATAACACACAGCCAAACGTCAGACACTAGTTTGAGGCAAGTGAAGTGCTTGTGGTTGCTTGCGTTGGTTTCCTTCAAGTTCCAAGCGACAGAGGTCGTTCCTCGGTTCTACCCACCCCTCCCCTGCATGGATGACGTGGCGCTAGGCAGGGCTGTGCTGGAAAGCTGCGTCCATCCATGTGAAGCAGAGGTGTCCGTCTATCTGCAAAGAGTTAAAAATCCCGGTTGTCCAGCAGCGGATGCCAGTTTGCTATTGCACTGGGTCACAGCCATCTCCCTCCGTCGCCCCTCTGGCTGCGTTCTCGTGATGGCTGTCGGCCAGAGGGCCGGCCCTGCTTTCATCAACATTGTGAGGCAAACTGCCCTGTGCTGCCAGGCTCCTGGTAAATGTAAAACAAAGACAATCCCTGCCCACGCCCCCCGCCCTCCCTGCAGGTTCAACACATGAAAATCAGGTGGGGGGGAGAGGAGTGTGCAGAGTTGTTGGCTGAATGTTCATTCAACGCGAGTGGGAAGGAAGCCCTCCTCGCACTCATGGCCCAGTGAGGGAGGGAGGGATGCGAGAAGTTAAGGTGCAAGAATTAAAATAATAAAAAGCTTGAAAACAGCAGGCCAAATTTCTCCTGTGGTCTCACCCAACAAGCTTTGTAGGAGTTCTACCAGGGATGAACTCGGACCAATACGCTTCAGCTCTTGGTATGTTCACACAAATACCCACATCGACACATTTAGACTGAGTAAGGGTGTAGACAAAAGGGTTTACAGATTGTGCAGGATTCCTGTAGGTATCTCAGCCCTGGCCTTGGAGGACCAGAGATCGGGCTACCGAAGCGTTCATGCGCATGCCATGTTCTGTTGTCTCACGGCTGCTCTCCGGGCAACATTTTAAAGTGAATCCGAACAGGCAAACAGGTGTGGATGGGCTCTCTAGGCACCGGGTCTAAGCCAGGCAGCTGCAGCAGTAGTTTAACCATGTGGCTGCATTCTCCTGCTCCTTACACCTCCCCTAGCTAAAGTGGGGTCACCCCCAGGTCTCCTTGTGGCATGCTGTGGCAGCTTGGGCCATCCGGAATAGCATCCTCCATGCACTGTGAAGGTGTGTGGCGGATGCTGTTTTGTTCTATCAAATAGCGTCCTCCAGGGGTTACCAGTTGGACAATGCACAACCAGCTGTGCATGTACACAGAGGGCATGCTGCTGGAATCACCCCCGTCTGGGAGGAGGAACAGGCCCCCGAGACAGGCACAGTGAGAACTGGTAGCAGGCTAGGGAGAAGTCTAGGATTCTAGGCAATCAGTGACTTTCCTGTTTGGATAGCGCGTTTGTGCCAGTTCCTCAGCCTTGGGCAGACTTCTTCTGGCCAGGGATCAGCCCCATTTTGGGCAGTGCAACCTTCCCTCCTGGCACCCTGCTAACCTGTCTCAACCCTGATGCAGAAACACAGGAGTGGGCAAGCCTTTTCCCATGACCTCTGCTGAGAGCTTGCATGGGCTGGGCAAGAGGGACAATGGGGGGGGGAGGGTGGCTTTTAAAGCCGTGAGCTCTGCGCTACTGGGATGAGCCCATCACACTCCCTATGGCCTAGGCCTTCAGCCAGCCATCCTCAGAGGATAAGACCTTCCAGTCATGGCCAGCTTGAAGCTAACTGCTTGAGGGACTCTAGCTCAGACCCAAGCTCTTGAGCCATCAGGTCTCCTTGCAGACACGTGATTAATATACAGGACAGCCCTAAAAACCCAGGCTGCCGGGCCTGTGAAAACATCTAAGACACCTCGCCCCATGGGATGTCTGCCACTGATCCGAGAAGCTGTGAGGTGCTCACGGCCCCAGCGGCAGCCCATTCAGCGGCTGCCGTACTTTACACGAAGCAGAGCCAGACTCCCTGGGAGCACAGACTTGGCTGCACCCTACGTTCCCCGACTGCAGTGTAGAGGCTGGTGAGGCGGTGCCAGGTGGGCATGCTTGGTGTGTCACGCAGGCGTGAAGTGGACCAGTCACCTAAAAGTGGGTAGCGCTGCAAGTCAGCCGTCCGGCCCTACTCACACTGCACTGTACGCACACAGTTGAAAGCTTTGATGTGCTGGGCCAGACGCATCTCAGAATCTCCTTGCCTCGAGGGGCCTTTACTGATGCTACAGAGCTACAGACAAAACTGCCAATGAGAAAGGGCTTCTTTGGCTCATTGCGTCTTCTCCCCTCTTCTCCTTGCCTCGAGGGGCCTTTACTGACGCTACAGAGCTACAGACCAAACTGCCAATGAGAAAGGGCTTCTTCAGCTCATTGGGTGCGTCTTCTCCCCTCAGCTCCCCGTTTTTCCTTTCCCGGGGGCAGTGCTTGCATCGCCAGCTAGGCATCTGGCCCAGTATATTTCGGTACAGCCTTTTCTCCTGGGGATCAGAACGGAAGAGGCACTAACATGACCACAGGCAGCACGGCTCTCTGCAAGGTGCTGGCAGCTCTTGGAGTGAAGCAAATCAACCCCTCCCCCTACACACACACCAATGAGAGTCGAAGGTGCCTTCGAGGTTTTGTTTTGCCGGATCGGTCCCTGAGGGTTTGTCTGGACTAAGAAAAGCCACTAGACTAGGGCAATGACATCCGTGTGGTTACACCACTGCAACCTTCTAAAGAACAGACTCTGTATCCCGGGGTGTCACACAAGTGCACACCCCATGTTAGGCCATGGGAGGTAACACAAAACCCACTACAGACAGGGCAGGTATGCTAGCCAGCCTGGCCCTGCCCACACTCCGCCCCCAGAACGCCTACTCCGGGTGGAGATGTTGGGGCCATGCATCCTCTGCCTGCCCCATGCTCTGGAGCTGTGGACGCTTGAGCCATGCACCGCCCCACCTTCTCGTGATGCTGGGGGCGGGGCTTAGGCAGAAGGGGCGGGGCTGGAGGCAGGGTTGTGGGCTTGCCTCCCCAGCCCTACCTTCACCCACCGCCCATACCTAAATGATTTGCCTTTCCCTGCCCACGGCACGTGCCAGCCACATGACATCAGGGTTACAAGCTGTATCTTCAGAACCGTCAGCAGCTACAGGGCCACTGAGCTCGGAGAGCTGACTCCATGCTACTGCTCTCAAATGCAGACTCTCTGGACAAAGGCTCACTGTGCTGTGACTGAAGGTAGAACCAGCCTTCGAAAGGAGAGTTACGTATCGGATCTGGGGGCCTGCGAGATGAGACGTGCAAGGAGGAAATAGAGACTGAAGGGAGCTGGCCCCTGCCCTTTCTTGGTACCACTGGCAGGGCTATCGGATCAGGTTTGCAGACTTCAGGCTAACTCCTGCACACACCAGGAGTTACCTTAGATAACGGTAAGGCACTATTATGAAGAGTAACTCCCAGGGAAGTTCAGCCTGGCACGAGATCCTTTTAGGCTGGAGTGGAGCAACTTTCCAACCCATCCCTTTGTCTAAAGACCAATGGAGCCTGCACCATGGAACCCAGCTGCTCTGTGGCAAGGTCCCAACACAGCTTCTGTGTGCTTCCTAGAAATACGGCCCTCATTTCTAGCACCGCAGCTGGGGTTATCGAAAGCAGTCTTACTATCAAAACCACTCCAGCTAGTGAGTATTGTCACTAAACACAGCCTTCTGGGTTTGGGCTTTAGCCTACCAAATTGCAGAGGAAGTGTGCATGTGGGGAAGGGTACAGAATCCCCGTTAGGAGGAAGACTTAACAAGGATTGCTAACAAGAGCAGGTGGTGGTAGTGGGTTTTGAGACAAAAGTCTCTGCTCAATAGCATGTAACCCCCTAGGTCATGCCATGTGGTGCACTGGAGATGCTAGACAGTGGGAACATCTCATTCCCTAGAACCTGGCTATGATTTCAGCCAATGTTCCCTCTAATCTTTTTCATCTATGTGCGGAATAAATTTTTACATGCACTGAAGCATGTGCAAATGTGCACCACCGGTAGAAACAAAAATACCTATCTGTGAGTGCTCTGCTAATCAGCTGAGTGGAATGTGAATCTTTCCTGAGGGGTACAAGTACTTAGCTTACAGGAAGCATTGATTTCTTTCAGCCATTCTATCATAAGGGAATGATAAACTCGCAGAAAGATCTCTCTTGTAGCACCAGCCTGTCACGACAAGTGACGGGCTCAAGCGCAAAATGCACTAGATTACAGCCACTGCCTCTAATCTGCGTAACAGCCATGAAAGGTTCCCATCCCTTGTGTTCATAGCCTATGGCATTTAAGAAAAAAATCCTAATGCCTAGAGCACTGTAGCCTCTCTTCCTTCCTTTGTGTCTCACTCTGTGGAATAGGCCAATCTCAAAGAGATTCTAGATCTCGCGCCTCTTTTGCATCTCCGTGCGCCCAAGTCTGGTGCTGTTTTCCCAGGGACGGATGAGTTAAAACACTCATGGTGGTGGCTAGAACAGGCAGACTGAAGGGTTTGTCTACACTTGGATCAGAGGTGTGTGACTGCTGCACGTGCAGACACGCCAAGAGCTCGCTTTGATCCCACTAGCTCAAACTGCAACAGCATTTCTCAAACCTCAACGGCAGCAAAAACTGCGACATTACAGGCTGGCTGTTTGAGAACACCGCCAGGACCCTGGATGAGCATGCACAGCCCACGGTGCTGCAGTTGCCGTGTAGTTGTTATTCAATTTAGCTAGCCCAAAGCTAGCTCAGGGACGTTTCCAGGTGCCATAGTGATACCTCTGATCGCAGTACAGTGGGCAATGTGGCAAACCTCATCTTTACCACAGAGGCGTAACCTGCAGAGACTACAGCTCCCAGCATGTTATGCGCCTTCCTTCTAGCAGGAAGCCATTCGGAACAGCATGGCATGCTGGGATCTGTAGTTTTTTTCAGGTCTCAGTGGCGAACTAAAGAGGAGCATGATGGACTATTTTGCAGAGAATTCATCATGGACAAGTTTCCAATAGCCACAGGCAAAGCTAAAAAGGCTGCCTAATGAGGCAAAAACACCTTAAACACCTCACTGCTGCCATGAGGAGCTAGTGGAAATGGCTCAACAGGGTTGAGCGTGAGTTGTTAATCTAATGGAATTGCACAGAACCGTGAAATCGGGGAGAAATTGTGGGCACGGTGCCCTGGGCTGCAGAGGCAATCCAGCTCGGTAACAACGAGGCAGGAGGAGGAGTCAGACCGGGGCTTGGGAAACGCTAAAGCCAGTGAATAAGAAGGGAGGAAGAGCCGTTTTGTCTACACCCTGACTGGAAGCCGGCACGTTTCCCCGGCTTATATGCACGTCGAACCTGGGAGCGTGCTGCATTAGCTGCAGCCCAGAGCACCTGTCCCTTTGACGGAAGGCTTACAGGCTCATCGTAAAACCAAAGGGGGAAAAAAACCCCAAAAAGAGAGAGAATTAATCGCCTCCCTCCTCCTCCTCCCCCCGTCACGTGGCCGGGCACTTCCTGCAGGGCAGAGCAGTCCGTGCGCCTGCGGGCTTAGTTGTTCGCATTGACCCGCCCGGCGGGGAAGAGGGGCGGGGGCGGCGGTAGGTGCGGAGGCGGGGGCAAAGGGTGGAGCAGAGGCAGAGCGGGGGCCCCTTGGGGGGGGGGGGGCCGGCCGCCGTTGTTGGTGGTGTCCGAAGCCAGGGGGTTGCTGACCCGGAAGCACTTCTCCTTGTGGGCCTTGAGCATGTTGGAGAAGCGGAAGCGCTGGCCGCACACGTCGCAGGGGTAGGGCTTTTCTCCCGTGTGGGTCCGGCGGTGGCGCTTCATGTTGGGGCGGCTGGTGAAGCTCTTGCCGCAGATCTCGCAGATGTAGGGCTTCTCGCCTGGGGGACGAGGGGACGGCCGGTTTAGGGACTCTACGTGGGGGTGCCCCTCTCCCCCTCAATGAAGGGCCTGGCTCTCCCCACTCACAGCCTCCCGAGCCCTTCGGAGCCATTCCCAGCTCACCCACACAGCCCAGAGTGGGGAACTCGCTTCCCGGCTAGAAGGTGAGTTCCCTACCTCCAGAGTGACCCACCCAGAGCCAGATCCGCACTGGGCCTGCTCACGATCCCCAGCCCTTTGCCGGAGCAGCAGGGCTGCACGGGGATCTCAGCAGCTATCGCTCCTAGCAGGGGAGCCGACAGCCACGCCGGGCCCCTGAGGAAGGGGTGTGTCAGGGAAGAAGGAGCTTGGCTCTGCACTGCCGGAAGGGGCAGGGCTGGGGCAACCAGGCCTCAGCACCACCCGCTCCCCAGCTTAAGGCCACTCAGAGCATCCTACGTGGTGCTCCAGTCATGATTTATGGGGCCCGGGGTTGCCGTGGTAGCGGTGGTGTCAGCTGGTCCTTTAGAATCACCAGGATCCAGGGCGATTTCCTACCACCTTTTCCCCCCGCCCCCTCTGTTGTTGGGCCTGGTTCTTAGGCATTGCTAATGCTCCCATCGCATTACTATCCAGGTGCCAGACCCTGCCCCCACAGGCCGGAATGGGGGGCGATGGGGAGCGGCAGCCCCGTCCCCTGTGTCTCTTACAGGAGGCAGCAGCTAACGCAGGCTACCCCCGGGGACTCTAATGCTGGGGGAGGGGGCCGCTGGGCGGGAGGGGAGTTCTCACCCGTGTGCGTTTTCATGTGCTCATCGAAATACTGTTTCATGTTGAAGTCCTTCCCACACCACTGGCACATGAACTGCTTGTGTCCGATGTGGATGCTCATGTGAGAGCGCAGCTGGTACTTGTACTGGAACCGCTCGTTGCAGTTCTGAAACAGAGAGGCCGAAGTGAGAGACGAAGGCAAGCGGCCCCCAGAGCAGGCGTGGGGTTGTTTTCGGCCGCAGCAGAAGAAGTGGGCTTATTTTCGACTGAGCTCGTTCAGGCTCAGTCATAGGTAGTAATCTCCATTTTATAGGGGGGGAAAGTGAGGCTCTGAGATCTTAAGGAGAGACATGCCCAAGGTTCACAAGGAGTCAGTGGCAGAAAATGGACTCTTAGATAAGAAGCAAATGTTATCACAAGACATTTCAAATAACTAGGGTTATTATTAGGGGCCAGACTCAATTCTTATTAAGCCCTTACTCTGGTTTTATTAAGATCTCTCCTAAAGACTGTAGGATTGACAGCTCAAATAATAACCCTGCCATGCAGATTACACTAAATCCTGAAAGCTTCCCAGAAGGAATCCCTCTTGGGCTGAGCTCAAAGCTTGTTTAATTTGGGAGAAACTGATTTTATCTTCAGATAACAGCTGTGGTCTGCCAGGCACCCTGTGGAACACTGAAATGCACACCAAATTTTCCTTACCAAGGGGTAACTAAAGCAGTGGTTCTCAACCAGAGATAGGCATGCCCTGGGGGTACACAGAGATCTTCCGGTAGGCACAACAAAATCCCCAAATATTTGCCTAGGTTTACAACAGGCTACATAAAGAGCACTAGTGAAGTCAGTACAAACTAATATTTCATACAATGACTTATTTATATTGCTCTCTAAATTTTCCTTACCAAGGGGTAACTAAAGCAGTGGTTCTCAACCAGAGATAGGCATGCCCTGGGGGTACACAGAGATCTTCCGGTAGGCACAACAAAATCCCCAAATATTTGCCTAGGTTTACAACAGGCTACATAAAGAGCACTAGTGAAGTCAGTACAAACTAATATTTCATACAATGACTTATTTATATTGCTCTCTAA